TCCCTATACTCCACAGGTATTCTTTATACCCTCTTCTGGACCATGCTATAGAGAAATATCTACAAATAAACTCGTGCAACAACACCAGGATTTGTTGTAAACAAGTATGAGACATCACAAATACATCCAAATACTGGGGAAAAGGTTTTAATTCAAAACAAAACTATATTGTGACAGGAGAGGGGTGTTGTGGGTGAATCTGCATCTCTCTTGCTCCAGAATACCCAGGAGCCCAGTGTTACAGCACTTTTCTATCTAGAGGACACTCTCAGTCCCTGCTGTGGACTATTTTGAGTCTCTCAGTTTCTGATTTGGGCCAAAAGATCAGTTGAGAAAACCTTCCCAGAGAAAGTTTCTGCCAGAAGGCGAGTTTCCTTCACCTACCAACATTTTCAGCATGGATGTTATTTTGCCTTTCAACTCCTTTCACAATGGAGTAACTCTTCAACTCCCCCGGGTTAGAGTCTGTATAGAGTCCACTGAGATGGAAAGCAGGCTTTGTGCTGTATGGAATACACCGTTTCTAGCACAGCACTCTTAAGCCTTCAATGTTATCCAAAAACATGCAAACTACCATAATCCAAATTATCTCATTTAAGTATATGGGGGTAATAGCAGGGAAAAGGGGAGAAATCACACATTTCCCTCTGTTTTGTTGCACAATTGTTGCAACACTGTGTGAAGAATTTATGAATTATTGCTAAGTTTGACAGCACTGCCTATTATTCATGTTATTTATCGAATACAGTAAGATTCTGTTTTCATTTAAGTATTAAACTTTGCCAGTTTAAGCACTTGGGCAGAAATTTTCCCTAGTTAGTGTCTGCTTGGGCTTTTCTGGGAAATATCACCAAAATGTCTCAACCACCTCCAAGATATTTTGAGGGGAAAAAAGTATATCTTGTCAAAATGAAAGGATGTTAATACTCTTTTTGTTGAAAAATTCACAGGAAACAAGGATGTGAAATGGATTTTTTTTTTCTTGCTTATGACTCTCTAAACCTAAAATTTGCCTAAGTGATAAGCTTCTGAAGAACTGCGGTTTATGCATACTCAGAATTTTAGTAGGGTCAATTTCTATAGAATTCATCTGCAGCCTGCATGCCACAGCCCAGGTTTTAATAGGGACTGTATTGCAAATGCATTATGAGCTTTTGTAATCTACTCACGTTCCTGACAGCAACCTGGTTCTTTGTGGTCTCAGGGACTCTGCATTAGTTATAAAACAAGTCAAGACCTATATTCTGGCAGCTAGACTCCCTTTTCCTGCCAAAAAGGATGGCTCCATCCACTGCTTGTTGGGAATCCTCTCTGGCTAGGCCCTGAACTGTGCATGGGAATTATCTGGGAAAGCACTAGTTGGCATGGGCCAAAACAGTGCCAGGACTATGTTAACGATTAAACAGTGTGAATGATCTTTTGTTTTTACTTCGCATCATTTAATTTGCTAATATAGACATAGTCCCAAATTTCCTCCGTTTCTTGCCCAATTTTCACTTTGACCCCTTGGCAGGTGGAGTAGGAAATTTGCTGTTTCGAATGCAGAGCAAATAAAACCAAGGCTCGTGGGGAGAATACGTTGAAGGAGAAATTGGGATTATGTACTGGGGAAAGAAACCAGGGACTTGAAGCTCAAGATAGAAGTAACAGGTAGCCAGGAGGAACTCAAGGAATTTGAAGCCAGAGAATAGGACTTCTGCATGGTGGGCAAAGAGTTTAGAACCAGGAATTAATAATACAGCTGAGGAGAAAAGTCAGTAAATAGTGATGCGATTTAGTGTAGGATCAGAGGACACTCAATGGGCAAAAGTAAGACAGAGACTGGAGCTGACAATTGCAGCTGTGGGTAAACGAAGGTGAGGAGGAAAGGAGAGACACTACGTGGGACTGTAAGGATAAAGCTAAGGAAGCGGGATAGCAGATAGCGGGCAGGAAGGCTGGGTTGGGGGAGGTTATGGAAGTGTGAGGAAGAGGCTATGGCTGAAATGAGGAGCCACAATAGGGATCAGATGCGATAAGAGCAAGAATACAGGGAAGGTAAGGAGTAGGAGAGGAACAGACGTAAGAGGGAAGAGTGGCCAGGGTCTGTGCCAAAGGGAATAAAAATCACTTCAAGAGTCTGGAATGGCAGCCAGCATAGTTGAGCCTGTGACATCTTCTGCTGTGACACCTACTGTGGAAGTGTCTCATCTCATCTAAAACCACTCCACCTACAGCATGACCATTTAGGACTGATATGTAAAGCTTTCAGCCCCACTGAAACCTTATGAGGGTATAAAAATGGTTGACATAACATTATTGCTGTTTATTTTAAATGGGAAACTACATAAAGAGTTTAACCTGAATTAAAAGAACACCACTAAAGCTAAAAAATCAAGCATTTTAAAGATTGCTATGCAACCTTCATTTTCCTCCCGCTCCCTGTCAGGTTCATGTTGCCTTTAATTACAGGATCACATGTTATTCTTCCCACACGATCAGGGCCTTATGCAGTGCATGAGTGCCTCTTTATTGGAAAAGCATTTCTATATTTTAATTTATCCACAAAGGTATTATTTCTTATTTTGGGCATTTCTGTAATGCACATCATTTGTGGAATCTGAATGGTTCACAGATATTAACACACACCTTAGGGAAACGGATAGTATTTTCCCCATTATGCACGTGAAGAGCAAAGGTATTAGCAAATAAGATCTGGAGTAACTACTCATTTGAGGTGGCCAGCTGGAACTTGGATTTGCTTTTTCAGACCATTCAGCACCATTCCCATGAAGTCAGTTACAACTGGGAATGCTTAGCATTTCTGCAAATAAGGCCACAGCCCTCACTGTTGGAAGCCACAGAACGAGGACTCACATGTGGTTAGTGACCACCTGTGTGAAAGCTCTGGTTGAAGCAATTTCCCCAGAGCTGCACAAGAACTCTGCTGAAAGCAGAGAAACAACTCTGGATTCCCCAAGGTGCCACTCAGTTCCTTCACCTTGGGCCACCGCTTTTATTTCTGTATGTCTCAGATCCCTGCACACCTGCAACCATCTATTACTGGCACTGGCAAACAAAGGCAGCAGCTCCTTTGATTGCGCCCCTGTGATTGGACCCCAGGCAAGATCTTTTGCATTAATGTTTTCAAAGTAGGGCTTAAAGAACAGCAGTAAAAAAAGAAAAGGCCACCCACTAGCATATCATTAACTGCTAATGGGAGGATATTCATAGCACCATATTTAAACAGCAGGGTCATCTGGTAAATGTCCCCAGACTATGATTTCCATAGTTGATGGAGGGAAATGAGGGAAAAATCAAGAAGGTGATTTAAAACAGGAGGTTAACCTAGCTACCCTGGGTAGATCTTACGAATATCTCTAGGAAAAAGAAGTGGGAGAGTCTTTCAGCTCTCCAGTTCCAATTCCAGTATTTCTGGATTGCTTTCTCTGCCTTTGATATCTCCTCCCACTGTCTGTGCCACAGTTGCAGGGATAGATAGGGATGGAGTCAACTCCAGTGCTATGCTAAGTTAGATTTATACCCAGCAAGGAAATTACAAGACCGTCTGCACTATCAGACTGGTTTAAAAAAAAAAAAAACAAACCCCAAATTAGGCCTCTTGTCAGCACTGCAGTCAAAGTACAAGCTGAACACTGATGTAAATGCGGACTCTGTAAATTTGTTGCTCTTTAAGTGTAGATAGTCCTTCTCCTCCCTTTCACTATAGACACAGTTCAAAATCTAAGCTGTAGGTACTAAGTTTCAGCACGTGCCATAATGCTCAGGGCAAAATCCCCCATGCTTCAATAAAGAAAGGAAAAAAAAGCCAAACTCACCAGCCCCAGGAAGATGCAGAAGAGCTGGACTACATCCGTGTAGGCCACAGAATAAAGCCCACCCACAAGAGTGTACATAGTTGCAATCAGGGCAGAAATAATGACCGAAATATTGATATTAATGTCAACAATCACACTTATAGTGGCACCTATGGGGAAAAACAAAACATTGTATATCACTGTATGTCTGACAACAAGGCTCAGCTTTGTTTAATTTCTGTGAAGCAAGTTACCTCAGGGAGAATCTGCATATACAGGTGCTGGTCTGCTATGCAGTCTGGTGTTTGGTGACAGCATGGAGGTATAGCCCTCTCTATCTAGCTTCTCCGTGCTCTAGCTTCCTTTCTAGAAGGAAGTAGCAAAAGCAAAGCTCCTGTTGTTTTAAGTTTAGGGTCTGCCATTTTGCATATCCCACCAGTCTTTCCTTACACTGTTTAACCTCTTCAGTGACTACTCTCTCATGTTCTGCCCTTTGGTTCAGGTATGCTCGTGGAAAGAAGCCATGCATGCACAACTGAAGGCTCCCTGGCTAGGTTACAGCTTCATAGGAGCAAAAGTACCTGCAGTAGAGGAGTGGGCCCAAGGGAGTTCTGCTTCAACATACCATCATCACCCTCTTTCATATCTTGCCTATGCTCTGAACGAGCCCCTTTTGGCTAGGGAAGGAATGGAACAGTAGGCATCAGCTGTATAGGGAGAGTTGCCCACGCTTCTCTCTAAAGTGCCCTTGAATTGTTTACATGGAATGAAGTGCTTTCTTTGCAAATTGGAGAATCCATCCTCCACTGTTAATCTAGAAACCTAGCTCTTCTGCAAACATGATCAAGCAGACTTCATTTATAGAAAAGAAACCACGCTGTTCAGTTGCTGAGTTAGTCTCCACAGAACAGTTCACAGAACTGCAGAATCACAGAATTGCTGAGGTTGGAAGGGAGCTCCAGGGACGGTCTAGTCGAACCACCCTGCTCCAAGCAGGGTCAGCTAGGACGGATTGCTCAGGACTATGTTCAGTTAGGCTTTCAATGTCTCCAGGATGGAGACTCCACAGTAACTCCACAACCTCTCGTCAACCTATTCCAAAGTTTGACCATATTCACAGCAAAAAAGTTTAAACAGAATTTCCTCTATTTCAGTTTGTGACCATTGTGTCTTGTCCTGTCACTGGGCAGTATGGCCACGTCTCTCTTGTACCGGGGAGCCCAGCACTGGATGCAGTGCTTCAGATATGGCTTCACCAGTGTGGAGTAGAGGGGAAGGATCACCTCTCTCCACCTGCTGGCAATGCTCTGCCTTGTGCAGCCTAGGATGCCACTGTCCTTTGCCCCAAGGGCACACAGCTGGCTCATGTTCTACCTGTTGTACATAAAGGATCCCTAGGCGCCCTTTCTGTAAAACTGCTTTCCAGCTGGTTAGCTCCCAGCCTTTAGGGAGGGAGTACATGAGGTTATTCCTCCCCAGGCACAGAACTTTCCACTTCCCTTTGTTGAACTTCATGAGGTTCCTGTTGACCCATTTCTGCATCCTAGTGAGGTCCTTCTGAATGGCAGCACAATCACCTGGTGTATCAGACAGTTCTCCCAGTTTTGCACCACTGGCAAATTTGCTGATAGTGCACTCTGTCCCATCATCCAGGTCATTAATGACAATGTTACACAGTATTGGCTCCAGTATTTTCCCCTGGCGTACACCACTAGTGATTGGCCTCCATGTGGACCTCGTGTTCCTGATTACAGCCCTCTGATCCCAGCATTTCAGCCACTTTTCAATCCATCTCAGTCTGCTTATCTAGCCTGTACGTCATCAATTTGTCTAGGAAGATGCTATGGGAGATGGTGTCAAAAGTTCTTCTTGAAGACAGGGGTGACATTTGCTTTCTTCCAGTCCTCTAGATACTCCCTTGATCTCCACAACCTTTAAAAGATAAGCAAGAGTGGCCTTGAAATGACATCAGGCAGCTCCCTCAGCACTTGTGGGTGCATCTCATCAGGTTTCATGGACTTGTATACGACAAGGTTCCCTAACCTGATCCACTTCCACTGAGGGTAAGTCTTCATTGCTCTAGACTTCTCCTGTGGTTTCAGAGGCATGGGGTTCCTGAAGGCTGCTATACCAATGAAGACTGAGGCAAAGAAAGCATTGAATATATTGGCCTTTTCCATGTCCTTTGTTACCGAGTCCCTTGCCCCATTCAGCATCAGGCCCACAACCTCCCTAGCCCTCTTTTGGCTGCTGATACACCTGTAGAAGCCCTTCTTGTTGCTCTTCAGATCTATTGGTGGATTCGGCTCCAGATGGGCTTTGGCTTTCCTAACTCCCTCCCTGCACCTTCAGGCAGTGCCTCTGTATTCCTCCTTGCGTACCCCCTGTACGCTTCCTTTTTATGTATGAATTTAGTCAGGAGCTCCTTGTTCATCCATGCAGATGTCTTGCTGCCTTTGCATGGTTTCCTCATTGTTGGGACATACCATTCTTGAACTTGGAGGAAGTGATCCTTGCAAATCAACTAACCTCCTGGCCCCCTCTTCTCACCAGCACTGTATCCCATGGGGTTCTTCCAAGCAGGTCCCTGAAGAAGCCAAAGTCTGCTCTCCTGAAGTCCAGCGCTGCAGTCCTGAAATTTGCCCTGCCCCTCCTCTGAGAATCCAGAACTCCACCATCTCATCGTCACTGCAACCTGACCTTCACCAGTTCTTCCCTGTTTGCAAGTATTAGATCCAGCAGAGCACCTCTCCTCATTGACTGCTCAATCACCTGTGTCGGGAGATTATCATCATTGCACTCTGGAAACCTCCTGAGTTGCTGTGTTTCCTTTCCAGCACGTATTGGGATAGATATATATTTGTCTTAGATGAATTCACTACTTTAAGTGATTGCAATCTAGACAAACCCTGTATAAAAACATCCCTCTCCCTTTGATCAGGATAATTTAAATTAAACATCCTGCATTAACTTTTAGTACCTGCAGGCATTTGTGGATGTGGCCTTACCCCATAGGCAGAGAAGATCTGGCTGTACAACACAGCATAATCTGTGGTATATAAGAACAGCAGAGAGCTGCAAGGTGGCATTTTGCTGTAGAGTGAACCTTCAAGGTTCGTGTGTTTAAAGGTTACAGCCTTGGTTCTCTGTTGCAAGGTAGGAAGCCCTGCTTTTCCCTTTTACAACCCTGCCAAGCAAAGAGTCACGAAGAAGATAAACAAGATGGTGAAGAACACTGGAATTAAATCTTCATCAATGAGGGTAGGTGTGCAGATTAGGAGGTATAATATAGTTAGATCTATTCACAGAACAGCTAAAACAGAGACTTTAAGTCACTTTTATTGTCTTTAACCATTAGCTTTTAATATAAACCTTACTAGAAAGGCACTCACTTGCTTTTAATATAAACCCTACTAGAAAGGCACTCACTTGCTTTGAAATATCACAGATCAGCTTGTTCTCAATCAGAAAAAGTATATTCCAAATACTCAGAGAATTCTTCAAGCTATTCAACTTCTATCACCTCAGCATGTAGTTTGTTCTTAGACCTTTAAGGGTTTTGTGATGAAATTATGGTAAACAAGCTCCCCACTGCTTTGCAGTTCATCAGAACACAGTTGGAGAGTACCTTCAAGGTTTATTTTCTGTTTAAAATAGCTTGTGTTAGAAAGCATTACCACATGCATGTGCACTGTAAGTATGATTAGCTGGCAAAAGTCAACTGCTGGTGCTTCAAGTCAAGGGCTTTCTCAGCTCTTGAAGGGGTAGTGAAATTTAGGCCTGAAATATAATTAAAAACCCTGGAAACTGCTTTTTTTTTTTTTTTTTTTTTTAAGGGCTGGGTAAGTAGTTGGGCGATTTTCTATTGAGTCATAGTTCCACTAATTCTCTACATCCTTTCTTGAATCCTAAGTAATTTCCTCATTTTTCTCAAGTAGAAAGCCATTTAGAATTGAATAATACTTGAATTTATTGATCAACATCTGGTTTACTTCTATAATTTGTGTGACAAAAAGTTCTATCTACGTAGGTCTCCTATATGCAAAGGATTCTTTCATTTAGATGCATTGGCAACAATGCTACACGACTATCCTCTCTTTAAGAAAAATTAATACCTGCTGCTGTGAACTTGATGCAGGAAAAGAAAAGCTGGGTCAGCTTTGACATAAAAGGGACACTTGCAATCATTCATATGACCCTTACCATTAAAGAAAATTTGTTGTTAAATCTTTACATGCTGCTCTGAAAAGAGGACCCCATTCTGGATAACTGAAAATGAATAGACATCTCACATGTCTTTGCAGAACCAAGATGAGCAACGTTCTGATAATAGATTACCATGGGTCTGAGACACCCACCACGCGCTGCATCATTTGGTTAGGATGGTTAGCACCTGAAGTCATGATTTTTATGCATTTCTGACTTTCTTAATCCTTTCCACCTGTGATCAGTTAATATTTATACTGCTGATTCCTTACCTAAGGCAGAGAAGATGGCAGCTGCCCAGAACATTTCTCCCATTAAAGCTGGAATGAAGAGTAGCCCTCCCATTCTTTTTCCATAAAGCTGCTGAAAAGGGTCTAGCATTGTTACATAGCCTTTGGATCGCATGGGTTTTGCAAAAAACAGGCCACCTACAAAGAAAAGTAGCATAAGAGACCAACTGTAGTGGAGAAATGTATTGCCATGAGGGGGTAAAACACTGATTGTCAGTTACAGGTAGAAAAATATCTGTGTTTCAGTTTTTAAAAAGAAATACATACAATTAAAATATCCTCTAAGAACTCTTACCTTATGTCTAACTATAGAGTCACATAAGCACGCTCACACCATTAATGTCTATGGTCTGATAACAATAAAAGAAGTTTGTTTATTTTCTCTGGTTCAGTTTACTCAACCTGCTGTTATGAATCTTGTTAAAGTTTGGTCAGGTTTTGGATCAACCTATGGGAATGGCTTCCTACCTAATTTTGTTCTCACTTAGTGCTGACACCAGCATGATGATGGGTCTGGCTTTTAGGTTTTGCTCTAAACATAGAACTACCTAGGATTCCTGGATCATAAATACGAGTTCACACATGGCATAACGCACACTGTTCTTTCAGGACATTTCAGATTTATTATGCATGCTTAAATCAACCCTACTACACCTGGTGGGTAAGTCAGATGCCTTCTTGGTTCTGTAGGTGTCAGGCTCCCTAAACATTTGTTATGCACTTATTTCTGTGCATGTTCAGGAAGTCTGATGTATCACAATTCTGCTCTGACTGACTGGCATATGGGCTAGATATACACATAAATGTGCAAAAATCCTCAAATTCCTCAGATTCCTTCTGGCATGGGGGAAAAAAAGGATATAGCTCAGGAAACCTGAAATAGCAGTTATATTGAAATGTGTAGTTCAGATCTACTCATGGCTATAACTAAGTAGACTTCTATTACAATAAAACTACTGGAGTGCAATATATATGCTACACATAAATCTAGGAAACCAATCAGCTCCTAATAAAGTCAACTCTGTAGTAATTTGAGGATCCTTAATTAGCTTCTTTGTCACAATATATGTGATACATTCATTGCATAAAACACTTTTCAAATTCCTCTATCCTTGTCTCATATCACTTTCATCTTTGATAAAGTTCCCTGAACAGAAGATACTGGTTTACCAATCAAAAATCACTTATATCCCTTATGTTACTTTATCTTTAGACAGGTAGGTTGGATGCAGAAACCTTCCAGCAATTTTTCTTCTTGCACTGTTTATGAATCCTGTTTTTGTTCTACTTGTTATATCATCATCATCATAGAAGACAATTAAAAGAGAGGAAAAAAAGCCACGGGTAGTATAATCTATTAGGCAGTTCAACCATCTATCAAAGGAAACAAGAGCTATTCCAACATTTAAAACTAAACTGCATGAAAAATTAGGAAAAGTGGTATACCACAGAGCACTGAATGAAAAGGGAGATTAAACAAATCTTAAATCTTTCCAGTCTAAAGCAATAATATTTCTTCTAGCCATCTATTTCTAATTTTGATTTAGTTTTCTTTTTTTCTTTTTTATGTAAGGATAAACAACCTCGCTTCCCCAACCTGCATGCACAGGTCATGCCTACAGAAATGCTTTCCTTGCTATGCTCTGCAGAGAGCTACATGGTCACAAAATACAGACCTTCCTCTTTTTTGCAGTTGCCCACACTTACCATTTCAATGAAGAAGTCTGGAGTTCTTTAAAAGCAGCTGGAAGCGAGGAGAGAGGCTAATTCAACCCCTTGAGGGCTATTACTAATCTCTCCTAGTTATACAGGTGCTAGGAGGCAGGGAGATGTTTATGGCTATGATCCTAATGACTTCTTAAGGACATCAATTGATCATGATCCTCATGACCTCAAAATAACATCAACTGATCATGAGGCGGGCATCTACCATTATTGTTTTCCTTACATGAAACAGCTACTCTCAGGGCTGGGAAATACTAGCGGAACTGGAGCTGGCATGCACAAACCAGAGAATAATATCCATGATGTGGAAGGCTACTGCCTGGGAAGAAAGGGGATAAAAGGGGATAGTGAGTAGGAAAGCATTTCCAGGGGGAGCAAACAGTCATGAGGGAAAACAAGTGGTACAGGAAGAAATAAAAAGGGCAGGAGGAAAAGAGGGACTGCATTAGGTGGGAGGAACATGAAAAAAATGACTCAAAACAGACTGAGAAATCAAGTACTACTAGAAAGGCTAACATTCTCCTCATATTAATGAAAGATGAAAAATGCAGAACGTTTTTGCAAACACATTCTTTTTAAGTGGTTGCATAAGCGCTTGCCTTAGGTAGGGACATGATCTGCTCACAAACTGAGAGGGTGCAGTTGGTAATTTTGTGGCGTATTCACGATGATTCACATGACAATGCTTTTGTTAAGAGCTGCACCATGTGTTTGAGACACGATGAGGTTTTTTTTATTATTATTACTTTTAAGGAAAATAAGGAAGTTCTGAAGCTACATTTCTGGAATTAGAGGCACAGCACTGAAAATTGCTATGCTGTCTGTATGTTAGACATTGATCCTGCACACAGCAGGATTAAGTACCTGCATTTTGACATGGGATTTGGAGTTTCATACTGCATTTAAGAGGAAGGTTAGTCCAGTTTTAGGGCACTAGACTAGTTTTGGTACAGACTTCTTGCATAAAATTAGGCATGTTAATTAGACTGTTTACGGAGATCTGTAAGTTATAAGCACTTCCCTAACCTGCAAGAATATTTATCACTCTTGAGGTCTGAGGTTTTGAAGCGTCTTGATATCATTATGCTCTGGGTCATATAGGTACTTAAAGTAAACCTGAATGTATAAAATTGAGTATATATTATATACTTAAGTTGAGGAACCTAAGATATCATACAGTTCATAGCGGTTTATTCATGCATTGTTTTTCTTTTTCAGAGACTAGGCTATCAGCAGAAGGAATCCAGTTTACTTTAGTAGCTTTTTATTATACCCTTGTTGCAGAATTTCAGATGATAGTCCTGTCATCAGAATTTTTTAAAATGAAAGACTACTAGCTTTTGCTCCTTGCTTACCTACGATCAGACTAAGGGAATATCCAATAGGTGCCTGAGCCCAAGCTAGGCCGTAGCCTGGGACATATACGGCTTCTGCTGTCCCATTGATGTAACCTCCTCCAACCCAGGTGGCTGAAAAAGAAGAGGTGGAAAAACCTCTAAGGCACACAAAGAAGGAAAATCACCCACATTCTAGAATGAAACCGTCATCACTTACAATATTGCTACTTTTTAACATATATATTACTCTAAAAGTCCCAAACATGGCATCCTTCTATAGAAGTTAATCCTTACTTCAAAAATTTACAACCTAAGTGTATGACAAGAGAAACCAGATGGACTTGGACAACAACCAAGGCGTCTAAACCTCTGCATAGCTGATGAAGAAGTGGGGGCTGAGTGCTACATTATTTGTTTACAAGGAATGAAGCAGATCAGCTCGCTATTATCATTTTCTTTGTGTTAGTCAAAGGAGAGACGTAAGGGGGAATCTGAGGAAGAATAATAAACATACAATGATAAAGTCATCCCTGTTGGGAAACTCAGAGGATTCAGATTAGACAACAGTGCAACTAATGCAAAGACTGCATCTTTACCTTAATGAAAAACTGTCTTTAAAATCCTATTTAATTTTAAATTTGGCTACATAAAGTACATTTAGCAAATTCTGAGTTCCTTAAATGTTACATTTCTTTATAAGGCTGTGGTGGTTTTGTTCAGATGTTTAAGTTTTCAACTTTGACAGATCTTTTTGTGCACCCTGAAGACAGATTCTAGAAATGAACTGTGCTATCTGTAATAATTCAGATTTAATTTCATTAAAAATTAGTATTTTTTTTAAATATACCAGCCTCAGGCCCTTAATAAATTGATTCTCTGCCTTAAAGGGAGTTTCCTCATTTGAGAATTCGGGACCTACACTATGTCTGAATGAAGTTCTCAAATACAGAAATGTATTGTGATTAGATCTGCAAAAATCATTCATAACAAATTACTTAAGTTTATCTTTTCCAGTTTGCAGATTCCTTCACATAGTTCTTGATTTTCTCTAAAGTATAATGAGTATTTTTTATGAATTTATAACTGCGTCAGATCATTACAAGTACCAGATTTTTATGATGCTATTTTGATTTGCCTCAGAAGCCTTTGCTTTCACATATAAGACAGGAGTAACTCTGGGCTTCCGTGTAAAAGCTTGAAATTGAATGAGATTTATTTTCCTTCATTCTTCAGATTTTTCTAAGCAGCCAGTGTAAGCCGCAAACTTGTTTGTGTGTTTAAGACAACCAAGTGGAGAAGAACACAAATTCATTTAACATTTCTAAATAACTTTCACGGAAATCTAACTGCCCATGCTCTTCCACTTGCCCATGACACCTCTCAGCCAATTAGTAGTCCAGAAGGTATATTTTTAACCTGACACTAACTTGCACCACGGCTTCAGAAGTACTGGTTGGTAGGGTGGCACAAGTTTCATTTTCATTTTTGATTACTTGATTTCTGTATTGGAGGATGAAAATAGAGGCCGATCAATTTTTGCATATGCAAGACTGTTCTGGAACACCTGCCAAGGACCCCAGAGCTTTTGGAAGGTGCTGCATAGTGGGTTTTTCTGGGGGACGGCATGGGTAGTCAGCATGCACATTCATATCAATAAATACATTAGAAAGGAAATAATGGGATATGATAGAATGGGATTTCATCCTTAGATATTAATTTTCTGATCCTTAGCTTGCTAAGCCACAATCTAAAGTTAGTGCAATATCTTTTTCGGTGATTTCTTTTTAAATCAGACAAAAGGAATACAAAATTTAATAATCTGTGGAAACACTCATGGGGTAATCTGTTTTAATCCTGTCTCTGCCTGCCTTCTGAAGGACTCAAAAATGCGGAGAATACCGATTTCCATTTAAAACACACCCTGAAAGATGTTATTGATCAGAAAATTATCGAGGGTACGGAGTTCAGTTTTGCTCCTCATTCAAATGAGGAACACAGAAAATCATCTCAGAGTTCCTTATACACCAATATATATCAGCAGATCTGATGTTTGGGTACTTCTCTATAAAATAAGCCCTTGACTGATCACTCAAATTATTGAATCAGCTCATCAAGTTCTGTAAAATAAAATTCCTGGATTACAGAAAATAAAATATTGATAATGTTTCTTCTTCCCTGTGGAAGGATATATAGCTCCATCCAAATAAAATGAAAAATTAGGTAAAAAGATCATTATTATTTTGGTGGTATTTGTCATCATTTTGATTATGCCATCTCAAATATTTAACTTACGGTTTAATCTCAATCAGAGAAATCAGGATAGACTCAAGCTTGTCATAGATACCACTTAAGAATTTTACCCCACAAATTAAGGAATGCTAATAATTAATTCAAGTTCCACTTAAATTAAAGCATGCGTACTGTGGTAGTGTGTTAGTTCATTTTAATATGAGCTGTTGTGCTCTATCCACACTTCAGCCTTCTCATTCTTTCTATTTTGATAATTGCTGATAGGCTCAGCCTTCAGTAGGCACTGTGTTCAGGCATTTCAGTAGGTAGGTGATACAGTTGCTTCTTAAGGATCGTTGCATGCATCCAAATATGTCCACAGACATTATTTACAGGGAGTGTATTTGCTTTAAGGCTTTTAGATGCCATTTAGAAAATGGACTGTAATTACTCAGAAATCTTAACTCCATTCCTATGAAGTCATGATGCTTATGCTCTGAATTTGATTTTAAATTCATAGACTGAGTTCTGTTATGCTCCCCGCAAATAGCCCTAGAAACCGATACTGTTTTCAGATAATACAAATGAGACTTGGTAGCGTCCATCTTGGACAAGAGAGACAGAATTAGGCCCCATCTCATAACTGAAAGTACTTCAAATACATATACATAATATACTCTATGGAGACTTTTAAAACTTTCTAGTTTATTCTCCCTTTTACCAGGTAGGCTTTGCTTGTTAACTTACAGTTAAAGCTGTAAAGCAGAAAGAATATGTTGGAACAGTCATGTAACTCTGGAGGCATGGCTGTGAGATAGGAAATCCAGATCCATCATTTTTAAAGAAGCAAATATACCTTTGGTTAACGTGGCCGTTTAGTAAAAGCTACTGCTGATTACAGTCAGCCAACAATCACAGTTGGTTTTTTTTTGTTATGGCTTTACAAACTGAGTATCCCAATCACCCTAACTGAGGCAAAACTCAAACTGACTCCAACTGTGTAGACCGACACACACACTGTGCCAGGCGTGGGTCCACTCAAACTGAAAGTGGAATTTACTCGCCGTCTCAATTAGCTTTAATTATTGTTTTCATGGAGCACAGAGGTGACCGAGCATGTAAATCCTGATACGATAAAGCTGGTGATTGCTTTAGTTGAACCAAGCTTTTAGGATGTGTCTGGTAGTCTACCTCAGAGTTGATATACTACATCATCTCTAGCGGTTGCGTGAAATGGGATGAGCGTGTGTAGGTGTGAATTGTAGTGGTTATAGAAATCGCCCGCAATATAGGAAATCCCAGTTCAAGTCTCTCCTCTGCTTCAGTTGTTACAAAATATCTGTCTATCTATCTATCTTCCTATAAAATAGGATTAAGGAGGCTAGAAGCTGTGTTTTCCATGAACGAGGCTGTTAGTCATGACTGCTTAACACAGGGAATGTCTTATTTCTTCTCCTCTCCCCCTACTTAACAGTTACAGGTTTGTGGCAAGCAATAGGTCTCTGCAAAACGTTCTGGTTTTGGTGCTCTTAAAAACATTTCATTCAGCAGAAAAGAGTCAAACCAGCTCCTGTCTTCAATAAAATCTAGTCACATCTGACTGCTTCAGCAGCCAATGGATGACACAGTACATTACAGCAAAGTGCTGAAAGTGGAACGTCAGCCTGTATTCAAACTTAAACTGACTTTGACAACTTTACTTCACATCCTAATCTTCAGACTTTGAATTGGCAGAATGCCTCTTTAAGTGAATATGAATTTCTCTTGATCGAAGAATGCAGAGTTTTGGGGCAAGTTTTTATTTGTCTCTTCCTCATTAGATAATTGTGAGACCAGAATACAGCAAAACAGCAAAGAATAGATATAACCTGATTAATCCAATTCGAGAGCTGTAGGGGCTTTGTCTGAATACTATTTAAAATACCGAAAAAAGAAGCATGCTTACATAAAATTAATTTGTTTAAACAAAAATGGTGGGCCATTTCACTCTTCTTCTAATGTGATTTTGATCCAGTCACATACGTGAATATACATTACTTGAATTTTTGGGTGATACTGTGGACCCCTTGTTTACCCTGGGAAGCCATCCGGTTCAACTGGCCAAACAGTCATCTCCCACTGCAGGGTGTCTCTGTGAGTCACACAGACTGCACTGTTTGTAGAATGAATGACAAACTCTTCCTTCATCCAGGCTTTTCCTACTGATACTTCTATTCACAGTGAGCATTATTTTGTCAAACTTTTGCAAAAGAAGCTAAAAGAATCCACAAAGTAAGTTTGCTGAAGTCAGTGGAATTACATGTTTGGATTTAGGCAAATTTTCTTTTTAAAACTTGTTCTTAATTGATACTGCCCCCCCATATCTTTTTTTCATATAAAGTTTCAGTTTACTCAGATGAAATAAAAATTACTCACCAGTTCAGTTGGCTGCAACAACAACAACAATTATTTTAGAATTAGATTTCTTAGCAATCTATATAAAACCACTTCTGTCCCAAATGTATCTGATTTATGAAAGCAGCGAAGAAGAAATAGAATATACTCCTCCTCCACAATTTTAAAGCATTTGATTTTCTATATAGATGTTGTAAGGTCTATATGTTTGGCTTTTCACTAAACAGCGTTAGCATCAATCAGAAAAAAGTATGCATTTTTCCTCCATTTTGCATTATTCAAAATACAGGTTACTCTTATCTTTCATTCAGATGGAAAACTGACAGGCTATATACTATGCAGAAAGAAAAAAAGAGACTTCTACATACCAGTCATTGTAAATCCACCAACTAGCAAGCCAATGTCTCTTCCACCGACTATAATAGCTTCGCTGCGATCTCCTTCGCTGCCAGTGTTCTTGGTTTTCCAAGCAGCCCATATTCCAACTGCCAGGATAGCAAGGTAGAATACAACTATGGCCACCAGCCCCTCCACATGAAAAGGCATGTTGAAGTCCTGACTGTTTCTTTGATCGCTATTTCATCAAGACCTCTGGAGAGAACGCAATAATATTTCTGCTTTCAACAAACCTAATAAGATGCTTTTTCAAGTCAGCATACACAGAAAATGCAGATGATTATTGTAGAGATTATTCTGGTGAATTTATGAAATGAGTGTTTTGGAAGTAATTGAAATTGAGTTTACATACCAACTAAAATGCCTGTGGACGTCTAAGCAACAATTACAATGGAAAATGAATGCTGCAGCTAAAAATTATGCACTTATTAGAAATCTATTACTGAACACAGAACTCTTTTCGTCCCACCAAGTCCCCAGTGTTTGGAAACTCTTCAATCAAGAAATAGTTTGGTTCCTAGAACAGGATAGAAGATCTTAGCCAGGCAGGTTTTTACAAAGTCTCTATTGAGTTAAAAGACAAGCTACAAAACTATATTAGGGAATATAAAAACTATAGATAAGTAATAACTACAGGAGTAAAGCACATTTTTGAGTCTTTGTATTGGAACGGTGAGTCTCTTCCTCCTTCTACCGTCTCCTGTGTGTAGGATCTGCGCTTTCTTTCTCCTAAGAGATTCAACTTTCCAGCATCAGCAGAATTAATCTATTTTTTGTTATCCGTTTCAGAAGCAAGACGGAAGGCTTAAAAGCTGCCCGACGGCGGAAATTTTACGGTAGGTGAAGCCAAGTGGCTGCTAACTCCCCGGCGACGTACCCGCGGAGCGCTTTCCGCGCCGAGCCCCTCTCGCAGCGCCCTCCCCGCGGCGCGGA